TGTGGCGACACATCCTGTTTTGGTAACTGGATATTTCAAAATAAAAGTCTGATTTAATTCAGTTCATTTACAAACCAAAATTTTGTGTGGGAACACAAAACAATATTGCGAGGGAACGCAAAAGTATTGCGAGGGAACGCAAACGTATTGAGTGGGAACGCAAAAGTATTGCGAGGGAACGCAAAAGTATTGCGAGGGAATGCAAACGTATTGAGTGGGAACGCAAAAGTATTGCGAGGGAACGCAAAAGTATTGAGTGGGAACGCAAAAGAAAAAAAATGCCCCCATGTCCCCTTGTGGGCTCCGCAGTACTTGGGCCAGACAAATTGAGAAAATATTTGAGGTGGATTTTCAGTATATTTATAGAAATAAGTTAAGATGTAACACTGAACACAGTTTTATGTTGAAGTTTATAAACCAAAATTTTACCAACCTATATTTAATAAAAGCTTATAGTCCTGAGGCACATGTAGATTTGGTGTTTTGCCTTTGGAGACCAGGTGTTTTGTTCAGTCTCAGAGGACTAAAGAAGTTCTTTGTGTGATTTGGGGGGAAATTGAAAATGAAATGCACTTTTTGTTTTACTGTTCTTTGTATTTGATTTTGAGAAATGAATTATTTGGAGAAATCCTTGATGTTCATCCAGATTTCTTCTATTTAACTGATAAAGATAAAGTACATTATTTATTGAAGTATTTTGTGTTTCAGTTAGCTCAGTTTATTTTAAAGGCCTGGCACATTAGAGAGAGGAAACTTTTTGTATGAAGGATGTTTATGTCTGTATGTTTTATTGTGTCTTGTAACCCGTATGGCTGGGCACGTGAAAATAAAAACCACGACTACTATTATATGTATAACATGTAAGGAAAGAAACCCACTTGTGATCTAAGGCCCAGTGTGAGCTGGGCTCTCTGGCTCCTGGTGAGCAGCTCTGGGACAACGTCTGTGACCATGGAGACAAATTCCTCAACCATCCCATAACCAGCCACAACTCTCTGCTGGACAGTTTGCCAGATGGCTGCTGAGAGGAGCCGGAGTGGGGGGACGAGGAGCCGCAGAGCAGAAAGAGGAAGAGCTGCACCTGAATGGGAACAAAAACACACAATTCTGTCTGGTACGACAACAATCAGTTCATTTAGTTCATTCTCTTTTAGGCTGATTAAAACAAATCCAATTAATGTTCAACCATCCTTCTTTWTATAAACCAGTAAAGTTACTATTTTACTGCTAAATTGCAGCTGAAAGTTCAGCTTCTTGCATTGATTTAACATCACCTAGCAAACAAACAGCACAATATTTGAGCCAAGTCATTATCTGCTAATTAACTAGGGGTGTAAGAAAATATCGACACACTGAAATATCGCGATATTTCATTTCCTGATACTGTATCGATATTCTAAAGCCCTGTATCAATTTTTAATTAAGGTTTAAACTGTCAACCTTCTCTCCAGCCGTTCATTTTTATGTTGTAGTTCAGCCTCTGACCACTAGGCAACAGCAGTGAGCCAGCCATTTGGCTCCTCTACCTCTTGAGCGCCAGAGAGTAAGGGTAGCATTAGCATTGTAAGTAAACATTAGCTTTTCTTTTTTTTTTTTTCAGTAAGAGGTTTTTATTTAATAGAATTTTTGGACAAAAAAAATCACAATATATCGCCTTGCTTACAGTATCGCAATATATCAGGATATATCGTATTGTGACCCCTCTGTTATGATATGTATCGTATCGCCAAATTCTTGCCAATACACAGCCCTATAATTAACTTCTGGACATTTGTGAAACAGTTTGTTTTATGACACAACCACAGACCAGAGTGAAAATGAAAAACCTTTGTGACCCATCGCATCAGCTGAGAGTTAAGTCACAAACAGGTCCATAAATATTGGGACATTGACACAATTCTCATTGTTTTGATCGTAAACACACCACCACAATAAATCTGAATTAAACAAACAATATGTGTTTTAAAGCATTTACAACTGATTACTGTTCTCTGATGAATAAAACGTCCTTCACAACAACTGGCCAGATGATAAAAAAGGTTCACCACCAGATGTAAACAACTGGTTTGACTCACAAACAGGAAGCAGATTAGAGTTCACTAAATAAATAAATAAATAAATAAAACAAGTCTTTACAGTATAGTACATAACATCCTATGGACAGATGAGACAAAGATCAACTTGTACCAGAGAGATAAAAGACAAGTATGGAGAAGGAAAGGAACTGTTCATGACCCAAAACCTGCCACCGTATCAGTGAAGTATGGTGCCGGTGGTGTCATGGTGTGGGCATGAACGGTTGCCACTGGTTCCCCTGGATTTACTGATGACCAGCGTTGTATAAAGTATCACACAGTGATACTTGAGTAAAAGTACAAGTTATCTTACTAAAATTGACTTTGGTAAAAATTAAAGTCTCCTTTAGGAATATTACTTGAGTAAAAGTCTTGAAGTATGTGATATTTGTTGTACTTAAGTATTAAAAATAAAAGTATTGATTTAAAATGAGCAGTTAGATTTTTCGTAATGATATTCATTAGGAAGTGACTTCTCCAAAAACTGCAGAAATGACTATATTGTAGTAAAATAATTAATTAATGTTAAATTTAGGATGCACTAGTCTTCAGTTTACATATAAAGGCTGCACAAAGCTTTTCACCAAAATGAAAATCTATCTAAAGGCTGCGGCCAAATGTAACTAGACATGGGTTTTTACCATGTAAAAACAAGTGTGCATCGCCTTGTAGCATGTTACTGCAGCACTGGACTTGCAGAATGAGCTGTGACCAAGTTCAAATGTGTTTTCTAATTAATATCAGTCAAACACCTGCAAAGTCAGCAGGTGTTTGTAGTGAGTATAATTGTGTGAAAATATATCAATCTGAAAATATGCAGTTTTACTGAAATATTTTGTTTGTAGCTGGGATTGAACTCGGAGCTCCTGCATGAAAGCCCACAGTGTTCATCATGAGACTATCGGAGCTGTGGCAGAGGACAACCCCAGGGATTGGATTGTATGTATACAGAAAGAGTTTACCTTGCCAATACAATTATTGACACTAAACTGCATAATATTAAAACAATAGAGCAGTATTAAGACAATGATATAGTAAAACATCAAAATACAATCATAGTAATATTGTAATCACTGAACTACTGAGTTTAAATATTATRAAACTATGGTGCAGTAYCATATTGTGTAGAKGCAGCAGGGGGCAGTATTGGACCAATWCAAGGCTCCATTGACTGCCATTATAATTTATTAAACATTATTATTTCAAAAACTACAAGTTGTGCAGTATCATATTGTGTAGATGCAGCAGGGGGCAGTATTGGACCAATACAAGGCTCCATTGACTGCCATTATAATTTATTAAACATTATTTTTCAAAAACTATAAGTTGTACAGGCACCAAAAGGCATAGCCATCATTTGGCACAGGACCTTTACAGATATAAATAACAATGGCAGCTCTAGGACAAAGTATGCAGGAAGAGAAGCATGGCAAAGTTGAGATGACTTGGATGGGAAACGAATCACAACAGTGTGCATTGATAATGCACACTGTTGATATAATTCATGAAATACAAATACTTTTAGGTGTTGTCTTTTTTTAAATTATTAAGCGAGCAGACAGTGTGGTGGTCCACGTTTTCGACTAACTGCAATACAGCCCTTTATACCGTCAGTGTGCCAATGAATGGAATGATGTTTTGGCCCACGGGCCTGTCTTTGGGCACCTCACAATCATCCATCCATCTATCCATCCATCCATCCATCATCCATCCATCTATACACTGCCACATGCATCTTTGTACTAAGGCTACGTATGTCTGCTATGTCCAGTGTGACATGATTTGTTTGTGTACAAACTAATACACTATCAGAGTTTTATATATTTATACTTCTCATTCAACCACAGTTAAATTCACTCTATCTAGGAGGCTCAGTTTATATGGATWGTTTTTATTTTTTACWAYAAGCTGCAATGAAAACAAGTAAAACGTACAGATAATTGTGTGAAAATGTAAAGAGTAGAAGTAAAAAGTAGGCTGAAAAATAATTACTCAAGTAAAGTACAAGTACCCCAAAATTCTACTTAAGTACAGTAAAGAAGTATTTGTACTTAGTTACTTTGCAGCTCTGGTGATGACAGGATGCTGACAGCAGCAGGATGAACTCTGAAGTGTTTCATATTATCAGCTCATTTTCAGCTAAAAGCTTCAGAGCTCAGTGGACAGAGACACACAGTGCAGGAGGGTGATGGTGAAACAATCAGAGTGTTTTAAGGCAAACAAGTGAAATGTTGTGCAATGATCACCTGACCTGAATCTAACTGAGCAGCATTTAACTCAATGCTCCAAGATCAACTATGAATGTTAATTTGTCCCTTTACTTTGGTGGGGGGCACAAATACAGACTGATGTAATCCACACATCTTTCTTCTGATTAGAACATAAATCTAAAACTGAACGTCTGCAATTAAAACACATCTTTGTTTCATTTCAGATCCAGATGTTTACAGCCAAAAATTTGATAATTGTGTTGATGTGTCAAAATTTAGTCAAACTATAATGAATAAAACACCCACAGGTGGTTTAAATGAAATATCTGGGATACTCAAACAAAGAATATTTGTAAAATAATGGTTTGGATTAGCTGTCCAAACATGAAAACAGCGTTATGCTAACAGCTAGCTAGAGTTTATTATAGTGACAGAGTGAAAAACTTACAGGAAACAGATGAAATCACATCTTCCATCCTGGTTCTCTCTGCTGGACAACTTCATACAGAACAAAAACCGTTTTTATTTGAAGTTTCTGTGTTTCTGTAAGCCTGCTCACCAGTGGTCCGTCCCAGAGCCCTATAGAGCTCTGGTCCGTCCCTTTTTGTCTTCCGTGTCACTTCCGCTCCCCGACGGGCCCAGCAAAGAGTACGGCAAGCCGAAGGGTCAAAAATGGTCTGCGCCGCTTTTTTTCCCCCCAGTTTTTTATTTTTATTTTCACACAAACCTTGAATCTGACCATTTGAGTAAGTAAAATTTAGCCTTGATTATTAATAAATTTATAAAAAAAAATTTGGATTAATTTTACCACTCTGTTGAAATCCAAACAGGACATTTTACCAATATAACTAAAGGTCTGCTGATTTTTTAGAGTCGACATACTTACAAAAATGTTGTTAAAATACTTTGGAATGAGGACAAATCCAGAACAAATGAGTGTCTGGGCAAAGGTCACAAAAGGTACAGTTCAATTCAATTTCAATTCAAAAACTTTATTTATTTATTTAAAAACAAAATAAATTCTATATGTGATTTTAAAAATGAAAAAATATACAAATGACAAATATACGGAGCCCGCGGGGGGGCAGGGGTGAAAATAAAAAACATCCGCTGGAAATCCGTGTGCACGGATTACTAAACTGTTAGCACGGACTACTAAACTGTTCGCACAGACTACTAAACCGTGAGCACAGATTACTAAACTGTTCGCACGGATTACTAAACTGTTCGCACGGATTACTAAACTGTTCGCACGGACTACTAAATCGTGAGCACAGATTACTAAACCGTGAGCACAGATTACTAAACTGTTCACGCACGGATTACTAAATTGTTCGCACAGATTACTAAACTGTTCACACGGATTACTAAACTGTTCGCATGGATTACTAAACCATGAGCACAGATTACTAAACTGCTCGCACGGATTACTAAACTCAGCGCACGGATTACTAAACTGTGAGCACGGAATACTAAACTGTGAACACGGATTACTAAACTGTTCGCACGGATTACTAAACTGTTCGCACGGACTACTAAACCGTGAGCACAGATTACTAAACTGTTCGCACGGATTACTAAACTGTTCGCACGGATTACTAAACCGTGAGCACGGATTACTAAACTGTTCGCACGGATTATTAAACTGTTCGCACGGATTACTAAATTGTGAGCACGGATTACTAAACTGTTCACACGGATTACTAAACTGTTTGCACGGATTACTAAACTGTTCACACGGATTACTAAACTGTTCGCACGGATTACTAAACTGTTCGCACGGATTACTAAACCGTGAGCACGGATTACTAAACTGTTCGCACAGATTACTAAACTGTTCGCACGGATTACTAAATTGTGAGCACGGATTACTATACTGTTCACACGGATTACTAAACTGTTCACACGGATTACTAAACTGTTCGCACGGATTACTAAACTGTTCGCACGGATTACTAAACTCAGCGCACGGATTACTAAACTCAGCGCACGGATTACTAAACCGTGAGCACGGATTACTAAACTGTTCGCACAGATTACTAAACTGTTCGCACGGATTACTAAACTGTTCGCACGGATTACTAAACCGTCAGCACGGATTACTAAACTCAGCGCACAGATTACTAAACTGCTCGCACGGATTACTAAACTGTTCACACGGATTACTAAACCGTGAGCACGGATTACTAAACTGTTCGCACAGATTACTAAACTGTTCGCACGGATTACTAAACTGTTCGCACGGATTACTAAACCGTCAGCACGGATTACTAAACTCAGCGC